TATGTATGAATATATTACAGTAATGTCATTTTCTTGGTGGGTTGTAGGTCATTATACGGGGGTTTGGGTGACACCGCAGAACCAATTAGGCTTATTTACATGTACAGTAATTTATTTCAACATCACTCGTTTTGTGATTTTAAATTTCGTGAGGCTGAAACCGGTACCAATTAGTCACGAAACTTGAGATCCTACTGTATATATACACACATGTGACAGAAACACAACACTCAACAGGTTACCACATGCATGAGTTCCATTGTTAAATGTCTCTGTGATAACTCCCTGCACTTTGAGGGTTAATCAAGATTACTGATTAATTCAGTAATTAATTAAATCAAGGCCAACTCAGTTACATACAAGGATTTATTTAAATAGATTACTTGTTCCTTCTCCACTAGCTCTTTTATGAAAAGAATTTGTAAACAAAAAATATCTAATCAAGTGATTAACAATGCCAGCCCTGCTTCAAAAAGACCATGAATACCTAAGAAACTTACCAGCTGTCTTCAGTGTGTCTGGGGAAGTTTTAGTGAGGGTTGCCAAAGGGTTCAGGAAGTTAGCAAGCTGACTGCGTCCTCGACTTCTCTTCTTTTCCATCTTTCCTGACACCAACAACACATCACAGCCCATCATCTGGCAAGCTACTTCAAATGTCTCACCAATGGCCTTTATGGATTCTGGCAAATATTTGCATCTTTAGTCTTTTGATTTAAACATTAATACACAATAATATACAGGGTGTCACCAAAAAATAATTCACACTGTCTTACAGATTTTCAGTGCAATGGCCTGAATGTTTGTATTACAACAGCAACATTGTCCTCACATGTGGGAGACCTCACACACACATCAACAAGTGAGGACAAAGCTGCTGTTGTGGTACATGTATTCATGCCATCTCCACAAAAATATGAGACGCCCTGTAAAGCAATGCATCAACACCTGATATGTTCTTCCCTGTTATAAATCATACTGGACTATTTATAATCTTCCCTGCATCAGTATTACCACCACATCAAAGTGAAGTACAGGTTGTACCTCTCTAGTCCGGCATTCTGTGGTCCGGAACGATTTTAGTTTGTCCAATAGGTAGATAAGCAGCTTTTTTTTTTTTTTATCTGAATTACAGTATTATTATTATTATTGGAGTATTGCATTTTTGCCCCTCAGGCTCCAATGTGGGTCAGTGACCTGTGCCCGGGTGGGCTAATCCCCGTAAAAAAACAAACAACAAAGCCGCAAGAAATTAAGGTTTGTTTACATCTGGCAGTTCAGCTCTCTCTCTCTGTTTGTCTATACAGTACAGAGTACAACATTTAACCCTTCAATATATATGAACAGGAAGGGTTTGCTACTTATCTTGTTCCATTTATTAACAATAAATAACATTACTTCAAACAACCATATTAATTTTTACATTAATTTTACTACAGCTACAACCAGGGTCTTACTTTCTTGTTTCATATGTAGAACCAATCAGTCACTGGTTTTGTAAACATTAACGAAAACAATGCCGACAGCCGTCTCGTCTCCTCGTGTGTTTTAATATTCCACGAATTATTAATGAATTGCATTGTTCATTTTGCACACACAAACATTAATTCAATAAAAAAAATCAGAAACATTAATTAAAACATATATGAACAGTAAATAAGTGTTGCTTTCTTATTCTTATGTAGAGTAATGACGATATGTTTTCACATGTGCGCACTTACATACGTGCAGTCTCGCTTTTTTCTTTAACATTAATGGTTTGCTACTTTTATTGTTCTATTTATTAACATTAAATAACATTACAGTTGTACCCCGCTTTACGCGGTCAATTGAACCCACAGAGTACCGCGTTAAGTGAAAACCGCGTTAAGTGAACAACAGAACATATGGGATTAATTCCAATAGAGACTGGCTCGACCCTCAAACTCCACTTTTTGACGACACACAACTATGTTGTAGTAAAAATTTTATCTTAACTTTATGATGGTATGAACAAACAAGTAATTTAAAAGAAGTTAGGTTAGGAAAAATAAAGGTTAAGTTAGGAAAAATAAAGGTTAGGTTAGGAAAACTAAAAGTTAGGTGTAACACTTACGTTAGTAGAAGAGATGGGTCGGCATACAGGGATGGAGGCGGAGGGGAGGGAGGGAGGAGGAGGAGGGAGAGGCGAGGCAGGCGGGAGCGGGTGGCGGGTGGGGCGAATCTAAAAATAGCGTCTCGAGCCGGACACTGCGCATATATGGGTAAATGAACCGCGTTAAGTGAAAGTTCGGTTCTGGTGAGGCACCGCGTATATGAGAAATCGCGTTAAGTGAAACCGCGTAAAGCGGGGTACAACTGTACTTAAAACAACCATATTAATTTTTTACATTAATTTTACTACAGCTACAACCAGGGTCTTATTTTCTTGTTTTATATGTAGAACCACTCAGTCACTGGTTTTGTTATCAATGAAAACAATGCTGTCTCATTTCCTCGTGTGTTTTAATATTCTACGTATTATTAATGAATTGTATTGCTCATTTTGCACATATAAACATTAATTCAATAAAAAAGACATTCAGTAAAAAGCAATAACGAATCTTTTGTACATTAGAGAAATGACGCTGTTTACACGATTGTGCACGTCGTCTGAACTTTGGCGAGCCGTTCAAACCCGTCAAAATTCGAGTTTCCGCCGTCAAAATTTTAAATTATGTCGTGTTTTTTTTTGTGTGTCCAAATAGAAAATGGTGAATTAAAAACTCGTGAAATTTGAGAAGCTAATGTACGACATTTAACCCTTCAATATGTCTTCAAAGAGACCACGAAGCAGTGAAAGTGGTGCTAACTTTTGCGCAAGTCACTATCTGTCCAGGAAAAGGGTGAATTTCCATGGTGCGGCACCGGTCAGGTCCCAAGGTTGCCGGACTAGAGAGGTACAACCTGTACTATACTGTATACAGTATGTGTAAAACATAACTTTGGGGTTTTTTGTTTGACACCCACATCTTCTACCATATACTGTACTATGTATACGAGTGAGTGAAAGTAGTATTAGTTGAACAGTGCAATCCAGTAATGTAAACCAAAAGTTCTTTAAAATCTGATTATTCTATACTGATTACAGGGGCAGGTCCAGGAAAATCCAAAAAGTTATGGGTGGGGGACATGGTGAACACAGTGAGCCCACCCACCTGGAAAAAAGGAGGGGAGGGGGGCTTGTGGGTGCTGTAAGCAACACCCCCCCCAGATTTTTTTTTTAAATCTGACCAATATCATGGGCTTTTGGAGGCCATTTTGAAGCAATGTACACTTGATGTGAAGAGATATTCTGAGATCATTAGTAATTTGTTTTTACTATACAAAAATGCCCGAGTACAATAATGCATAAAAGAAAAGGTATGGGAATTATGTGATGAAAAGGGGGGTCCAGACCCCAGTACACCCGTATCCACCCCTGGTTTAGTTAATATGCCTTTGTGGGTACAGGCACATGTTATGAAAAGATCTTAAAAGATTTAAAATTCAGCTTTTGAATAAGATACAAAGTATTTTTATAAAATAACTGACCGATCATTTCTTCCTCAGATTTAATTGTGATGGCCATATTATTGAAGAAGCGAACGTTCATGGATCGAAACATCTGTAGAAATCCACTCTGTCCATCCACAAGATAGTTGAAGCGGACACACTGGTGAGGACGAGACTGCTTAAACATGCCCTGGCTGAAAATTCAAAGGTTAATTTAATCTATATAAAAAAAAAAATTGACAGAAGAATAAGAGTGCAGAACTGTACTGTATATTAACCTTAAACCATTCCTGACAATACTTGGTGGGACAGGTGTAGCAGGCCTTAAAAGAGACATGGCTGCCCTTTACCACAAATTCACAGGTAAATGACATGCAGAGTTCAATGTTGCAGTGATGAAATAATGGTGGTGGTGTAATGAGGTTGAATTGAGTTTACTTAAATTTATACCATAACTGAATTTTTCTTGTTCCAAAATATACTTTTTAACTTTTACTTTTATCCTCTTCACCACTGATCGGCTCGTTAGCCGCTTGGTCATATCTCTGTTATGCACTGTTGGCAAATACAGTGGTCCCTCGGTTAACGAATGCCTCGGTTAACAAAATTTCAGTTAACTCCTAAAATTCCCCTAAATTGCCCTTAAATCACTGTATATATATATATATATATATATATATATATATATATATATATATATATATATATATATATATATATATATATATATATATATATATATATATATATATACACCTAACCTGACTTCACGACGGGGTTAGGGACCCAAATCCAGGTCAAGTCCCAAATAGATAAAAAATCTACAATGAAATACAGTACAGTAAAAGTAATGAATAATGATGAATGGATACAGTACAGTGAAAGTAATAAATAATAAGGAATGGATACAGTGTGACTGAGCACTTAACCTTTAATGTAGTCAGCTGAATGCACATGGGGCCCCCATAATTTTCTAATTATACATGGAGACTACATTAACTGGAAACGTTTCGGTATAGAAAATGCGTGTGTCATTTAAAAATTTTTTTTTTTTAATCTATATCTGAGGCGGTCGTAAGTCCCGACGGTCGTAAGTCGGGGTCTAGGTGTGTGTGTGTGTATATATATATATATATATATATATATATATATATATATATATATATATATATATATATATATATATATATATATATATATATATATATATATACAGTCTACGCGGAAGGTTAAGGCACAAATTGGGCTGTGACTTCACTTTTAGCACAAATCGTTTTACCCTCAAGATAGGGATAAATTTTGATCAGAAATATTTAGTCACAATTCTAACGGCATCTGGAACCCGTAGGCGACAGCTGTCACATAGCAGGAACTGCTCAGTCTTTGTTTAGGTTGCGTGGGTGGAGGTTATTGTACCCATGTGAGCGCCACGTGCCGTGATTTTACGCCTGAGTTACAGTGCTTTATCGTGTGATTTCTGGGTCTTTAAGATGTCCAAGAGAGTTACTAAGCATGAGGATATTGCACAGGTGATTGTTTTATACAAGGCTAATCATAAAGTTACTGAAATAGTTGAATTAACCGGTGTGTGCCACCGGTCAGTGTACCGATTCATCTCGGGGTTTGAGGCAAACAGCCAGGAAGAGTTGCCTACCCCTAAACCCAGGTCTGGGCGACCACGGCTTACGTCTCCTAGAACCAGGAAGGTGATTGCTAGGCAAGTTAATGCTAATCCTAAGCTCATGGCCCGGGAATTAAAGCAAGCTAACCCCGGACTCTTTGGTCAAGTCTTCTTAAGGTCGGTGCAGCAGCTTCTTCATGACGATCTCGGTTATCGCGCCTACCGACCACGCCGTAAGCCCCTGCTGACTGCTGCCCAGAAGAAGAAGAGGATCACTTTTGCGAAGAAGTACAGTGTCTGGTCCCTTCAGGATTGGAGGAACGTCCTGTGGAGTGATGAAGCCACGTTTACAGTGAGTGGTTGTGGTCACGATAGGGTGTACCGCCGGCCAGACTCTGACCCGCTCGACCCCAGGTACACCGTCAAGACGGTCAAGCATCTTGATTCAGTGATGGTATGGGGTTGTTTCACTTATTACGGTGTTGGTGAGTTGGTTGTGCTTGAAAAAAACATTAAAGTTAACCAGGGTGTGTACCTCGAGCTTTTGTGACCTTCTGCCTGACTCGTTTGAGAAAACACACGCTGTCGTGTTCATGCAGGACGGTGCTCCCTGCCACACAGCCAAGTCGGTTACTCAGTGGTTGGAGGATTGCCAGGTTTCATATTCTAAGGGCTGGCCTGGCAATTCCCCCAACATCAACCCTATTGAGAACCTTTGGGGGCTCATGAAACGTCGCCTACGTGACCTCGACACCTTGTCCGTCCCCAAGCTCACCACAGCAATTAAGCAACTGTGGGCCAATTTCACCCCACAGCACCTGCAAAACCTTGCAGACAGTGTTCCACAACGACTGAAAGAGGTGCTGAAGAGCAAGGGAAACACAACAAAATACTAAGAGGGGTGGGTGAGTGTTATTTTCATTTTTTTATTGCCTTAACATGATTTTTTTATTTTTTCCCCATGGTGTGCCTTAACCTTCCGCGTAGACTGTATATATATATATATATATATATATATATATATATATATATATATATATATCTCAAGGAAAGCGCCAGGCTCAGGGTGAGTACAGCACTAGCTAGTCTGCACTCACCCTGAAGATGTGAATTACACGAAAGCTTGGGAACTTCGTGTTTCTTCTTTCCTTGTATATCAGTATACCTAGATCACGCTACATTCTTACAGTGTGATTTATATATATATATATATATATATATATATATATATATATATATATATATATATATATATATATATATATATATATATATATATATATATATATATATATATATATATATATATATATATATATATATATATATATATTATATATATATATATACAGTTGGTCCTCATATTACGCGGTTAATGTAACCTGGAGGGTACCGCGGAAAGTGAGAAACGCGTAAAGTGAATAACATAACATATGGGATTAATTGAAATGGAGTCCGGGCCGATCCCCAAACTCCACTTTTTGACGACACACAACTATGTTGTAGTAAAAATATTATCTTAACTTTATGATGGCATGCACACACAATTAATAATTAAGAGAAATATTAATAATATTAGGTTTTTTAACACTTACATTAGTAGAAAAGATGGCTGGGCACACGGGGATGGGCGGTTGGTTCCGAGGCAGAGGGCAGATTATTGGCCCTCACCTGTATCACTTGTATCAATTGTATCACTATCCACCACAGAGGCTTGCAGGGCCTCTTTGTCAAACCCCCAAAGTTCATATAAGTCCATATCCTCACTATAATTATCACTATCACTGACTTGGGCCGGCTGTAGTGGGTGGCGGGTGAAGAACTGGTCATGTTTTGATGACTGGGCGACCTTGTGCGCACCATTTTCGCGCCTCTTACACAACATGGCGGATGGCGGGAGGTTTGGATCCAAAAATGGCGCAGCTTGCCAGCCGCTCTCCGCGTAATGGGGTTCACGACCGCGGAATGTGAAAATGTTAGGTTCTGGCAAGGCACCGCGTTAACGGTGAAACGCGGAATGCGGGACCGCGTAATATGAGGACCAACTGTATTTACCTTACATTTAGTATTTGGTCATGTTGCCTTTCGTTTACAATACCGTATATCACGGCCTATAAGGCGGCGGGGTGCATAAGACGCCCCCCCCAAATTTCCATTTAAAAAGTAGCTTTTGAGCTCTATTTGCTGTATAAGACCAGTACCCCAAATGTGACACTTACCCACTGACTCAGTAGTCCTTTACCAACCATCCTTGATTTTTTAAAATAAGGCCAATTCACTTCAAGTAATGTCATCAAATTATACTCGCTGGTGTAGTGTAAACACTAGTGACGTCACTGAAGCCTGCTATTTTACCGAACTGAACCAATGTGTCGGGTTCGGAAAGTAAAATTTTCCATTTACTTTTTAAAATATATATATATATATATATATATATATATATATATATATATATATATATATATATATATAATATATATATATATATATATATATATATATATATATATATATATATATATATATATATATATTATATATATATATATATATATATATATATATATATATATATATATATATATATATATATGTAGTGATGGGTTGTCAGACCACAGCTTACATCTCAGAAACAGTCCAGACTTGACCCGACATTAGGGGGGTCAAATGTAAGGGTACCCCTCGCAACCACTCAAGGAGTTACAAATCAACTGGCTCCCCTCCCATGTCACACGGCCCCAACAAACATGTATGAAGGCACCGGCCGACTCTCTCCAAATATACACAATAACCTACACCGCAGAAGAAGTCCAGACCTGACCTCACATTAGCCAGGTCAAATGTAACCCTCGAGCCCAAGTCAAGGGGCCACAAATCAACCAGGGCCTCTCATGTCACACGGCCCCATCTGAAGATTTCTCCAGAATATACAACTTATAGTCTCTAAAAAAGTCCAGACCTGACCCTACATTAGCGAGGGCAAATGGGTGAGATTCCTTCGCTGCCCCCCGACTTCAGTTTTAACCTGACGGCTCGCCTCCCAATATATAGGACGTCCTAGTAGGGTGTGTCATAGGAGGGAAGATCAGCTAAAACTAATGGCCCATCACTTTTTTGGTAGATTTTAGTGTACAGTATTACCCCGCCTAACGCGGTTTCACTTAACGCGTTTTATCATATACGCGGTGCCTCGCCAGAGCTGAACTTTCACTTAACACGGATTTTTTCCACATATACGCGGTGAGTGTCCGGCTCCAGACGCTATTCTTAGATTTGCCCCACCCGCCACCCTGCCTGACTGCCTGTTTTAGCTCATAA